GCCGACGACCGACGCCTGCCCCCGCTGCGGCTGCATCTGGAGAGTTCCGGAGAAGGCAGAAAGACGTTTGGGAGGCTGGGGAGGTGGGAGGGGGGCGGGCGGAGCATCAGGCGCCCCAGAGTTGTTTCGGTGGTTCAGGGGGGCTGCCCGGGTGAGGCGTCCCTGGTGGTTGGAAAGCCTGGGGAGCTGGTGTCTGAGGGATTTGGGGGGTGCCTCCTTCTAATAGGGGTGAAACGCCTCTAAGACCTCTTCTATGAAGAAAGGCTGAGCGTGTTGGCGGTGTTTAGCCTGGAGAAGAGAAGGCTGCAACAAGGCGTCCCTGCAGCCTTCCCATACTTCAAGGGGACTTACAAAGATGGAGAGAGACTTTATAGCAGGGCCTGTAATGACAGAACCAGGGATAACCAGGGTAGATTTAGATTATATATAAGGAAGCAATTCGTTATGATGAGGGCAGTGAGGCGCTGGCACAGGTTGCCCAGAGAAGCTGTGGCTGTCCCCTCCCTGGCAGTGTTCCAGGCCAGGTTGGACGGGGCTTTGGGCAACCTGGGCTAGTGGGAGGTGTCCCTGCCCATGGCCGGGGGGTTGGACTGCATGATCTTTAAAGCCTGCTGCTTGTCGGATTTAGCTGAGCCCTGGATCTCGGTCCTATACACTGCTGCTGTGCTTCTCCCCTCCTCGCTGGCTTTTCTTATTTTGTATTAATTCTGCTTTCCTACTGATGATGCCAGAGCATTTAAATGGGAAACTCAAGCTGTGGACAGTATCAAAAGGGAGCCTTTAAGCTGCTCGTTATTTCTGCAGGCAATGTAAGAGAAAGGGGGATACCAGTGGCCTAGAACAATAAGTAGCCTATTTGAGCTTTGCTTAGAGTAACATGATCAGGGCCTGCAAAGTCAGCTTTTAGAGAGTGAATTCCAGAAACAGAATGGAAAAGCAGCTGGATTCTTTTTCTCCTTTTTCTTTTTCTTTTTCTTTTTCTTTTTCTTTTTCTTTTTCTTTTTCTTTTTCTTTTTCTTTTTCTTTTTCTTTTTCTTTTTCTTTTTCTTTCCTTCTTTTTCTTTTTCTTTCCTTCTTTTCTCTCTCTCTTTTTTTTTTTTTTTAATTGCTTTCCATGGCATGGCAGTCCTTTTGTAGATGTAGCAGCTCAATACGAAGCTGATCAAATCTTGCAGTGGAATAACATATTAAAAATTAAGCCAGCTTTCACCTTCTGTGCAAAGATAACACACAAACAAGACAAAGATGCTTCCAAGGAGGTCCAAAACAAAACCCGAGAATCTGTCCCAGATTTAGCAGCTCTTGGACCACCATTACAATTAATAAATAGATAAGATGGAAATACAAAGCATTCAATGAATCCCTGACCTTCTTCGTCCAACCCAACACCCATTTGGGTTCCTTCTCATCTCTAAACACTGTCAAATCAAATCGAGTACTCAGGTGTCTCCAGAATGCTTTGGATTCCCTGATGCACATACCTGTCCTACCTGGGGACAACCAGCTGGTATTAGAGAGAAGGTAGATGGGCTGGCTCTGCCCTTTGCTGCTGCACTGACGGCTTTGGGGGCTGCCCATTCCAGCTGTATCACACACTGTTCTACCTCCTAACAGGGACTTTAGACCTTGCCAGACTCATATACCTGCAGCCAGTACTTGAAATCAGACAGGAAGCCCCGATCAGTTCTTTTTCCCTAAACATTTTCTCCAAGTAGAGATAGAAGTGACTTTCTGGGAATCTTGTCCACTCTTGGCATCCACAAGAACAACTGCAATCTGATGCACAGCTCTGCAGGTGAAGGTCCAGATGTTATATGCATCTGCTTTGTAGCACAAGCCTTGGAAGGATCAGCCTGGCCTAAAACGTTCCTAACCAAAGTGTTTTTAATCTGTTAGTCAAATCCTCTGGTCTCTCAAGAGTCCCTTCTCCACCAGAATAATTTTGTAATTTTAATGTTCACCCACAATGGACAGGGAAAACATTTCCTCTCTTTCTTTGCAGACACTTCTTTTGGTTATCTGAAGACAGTTTCGATCTTAGTCTTTTCTTCTCTCAATTATATTGATTTTTATCTTTTGACCTATGATTCTTCTTACCCCTCTTTCTTTAGCTGACCTGGAGTTCCTTGAACTGACCCCTAAGGCCCTGCTGAGTGAGTACTGGGAGATTACCTTGGGTATTTGCAGACAACACTGTTGTTCATATATCTGAATATGAGATCAGATATTTGCAAGAGTCCTCTCATAATATAACTTAACAGGACACAGCATAACAGGACATAATATGTTATGTCATTCTTCAGTTATGGGCAGCCTGCAACACATGATGTGTCACAGACCCTTTTCAATAGATCAGCTGCATGCCACGATGTTCTCTGTCTTGTACTTGAAGTTTGTTTCTACATAGAAAGTTTCTTTCTACATACATTTCCTAGCTGTCTATGCTAAATTGCCTTTTCCAGATTGTTTTTCCAGTTTGTCAAGATCACTTGAATTCTAATCATACTGTCAATGTTTGTGCAGCCCCTCCCAGGTTGCTGCAATCTCCAAAGGACTGTCTTGTTCCTGCATGCTCAAGCTGTTCCTAATAAGCTTTATTCAATGCTACTGAATGTTTTATTCAGTGCTACTGAACCCCACTGGAGCAGGCACATACTTCAACATGGGGAGGGGGGTGCTTTATATATTAACGCAGAGACATCAAGGACTTGTTGGTATAAAGTCTGAGATGGCAAGGGTTGGTTCACTAAGGAATGAGCATGGCTTTTGTCCCACCAGGGAGTTTCCCTTTTGTTCTTTTTTCCTTGCTTGGGGTTTTGGTTTGTTTTCAGTTCAAGTTATGCTTTGTGAGGCAATGTTGTATGAATGTAGAGGAGTTTACTAAGCTTGTATGTGGGGGGGGACACTGAGTCTGTATAGGTGCTTATATTTGTGTGTGGCTTCCGTAGGAGCTTTGTGATAAAGGGAAGGAAGTCATATAGCTCTTACAGTTTGGTAGTATTACTTAGGCCAGACATTTTGTCTATTGTTCCAGGGCCTTATGGGTGTAGCACAGATATAGTTTTGGAGAGGAGAGCTAACCTGACACTCAAGGAAGCGCAGATTCAATGGTTCTCCTCCACATGTGTCTGTTTTTCTAGATAGTTCAAAAGCTACATCTGATCTTGTGTCCATGTTGTTGCTGCCTGATGCCTCCAGCTCAGAGCATGACTCAGATGTCTGTTGGGAGCTCTTGTGCCTTTCAGGCTCAGCTGTGACTGCCTTTCTTTCTATTCTGCTAAGACGGATCCAAACGTAACTTACAACTGGCTGGGATGCATTCCCTAGAGCGATAGAGTGAGGGATTGTGCCTTCCCTGCTTTCTTCCTCTTTGGGATCATTTAGCTTCCCTACTGGATGGTGAAATGTGGGATCATCAAATAGAGAAAGCAAAAAAGGAAGCTAACGGCAGCTTGGGAAACGTTTAGAGTCAACCAGCACATAGAGCAGCTGCACTGCCACATGTCTGAGAGAGAAAAGGTTAATGTTATAATTTATTGTTATCCTTCAAAGATCCTCTTCCCTTTGTTCCTTTGTCTTTTAGGCCTGAATGGTGGCAATTCAGGTGGAAGAGGCTTAGCAGATGACACTGGAGGCATAAGATAGCAGAGGTTTCCTTTCATTCTTGTGGCAAGAAGTGACTGCTGGCTGTCTGCTGCCCTTGATGG